TTTTAAAAAAAAAACTTTAGGTAGGGTTAACATACATCCGTATTTTCCCGGACATGTCAGGCTTTTTGGTTCTTAAATCGCCGTCTGGGAGGAATTTTTAAATTTGGAAAATATGGACATATGGTAACCCTATTGGTACAAAAAATACATACTGTGGCACATCCCTTAAATCAGAACTTTTTATAGGGAACCGGTTGCTAAGAAATGAAAGGCTTTTTTTTACATGAATTTTTTTTTTAGTCATCCCTGCCGGGGCCCCGCTGAAAATGTTCGAATTGGGCCCCACACTTCCTAAAGCCGGCCCTGCCGGGGCCTGGGTAGGAGAGCTTTGAATCTCAGTCCCTCTGTCCCTCCTCTGCCCAGCCCTGTGCCCAGCTGGTGCCCTCCTTAGCCCTGCCCCAGAGCCATGTTTGCCCCTCTCTTAGGGAGGTGTTAGGTTGTGGCAGGGGAACATTGCTCCAAGGACCGGGCCTGTGGCTAGACCCCAACTGGGAACGGGAGCAGCTCCTGATCCCCCCCAAAGGGGGAACATGAGGGCTGAGCACCTGTCCCCGCCCCCTAATGCTGCCTCCTTGCAGGGCCCCAAGGATTCTGTGGTGAGCACCAGCACCCAAGACAAGGGGGTCTGGTTCTCACTCCAGTACCGGGAGCAGAGGGTGACCCTGCGAATGGCTGACGGCAGACACATGGCCACCAGGCCCAATGGGCAGCTGCTGCTGGTGCCCGAGGCGGCAGGTAGGGGCGGGACGCAGCCGATACCCCTAATTGGGGAGGGGGGTAGGCAATGCGATAGAGGCCCTTCACCTCAGTGCCCCACACTTCCCATCCAGCCCCGGGGCGGCGCTGATAAATCCCTCCCGTGCAGTGGCTGTTGTGGGACTCACGTGACGTCTCTGCCCAGATCACTGGCACTAACTGCCCCCCTTGGTTGCAGCCAGGGTCCGCCCTGGCCTTGGAATGAGGCCCTGGGGCAGGGGCCAGGACTGCCCTGCAAGGAGAGCGTCCGTTTCCAGGGCTTGCTCTTCAGCAGCGATGGTGATTTTGGGCACACAGCAGCTTTGGCCTCCTATAGTCACCCCTATTCCCCCCATCCCCGGGGGAGTGGGCCCTGGCCTGCCCCATATACTGAAGGGATGGTTCTCAGCAGCAGCCCCTCCTGACCTGACTTGACAGAGCTTTGGCCCTGTCTGCCTCCACACAGCGCCTCTGCAGGCCGGTAGTAGGGTGACCAGACAGTAAGTGTGAAAAATCGGGACAGGGGGTGGGGGGTAATAGGAGCCTATATAAGAAAAAGACCCAAAAATCGGGACTGTCCCTATAAAATCGGGACATCTGGTCACCCTAGCTGGTAGCCTCCATCCTGTGCCCTGTGTGGGGCCAGCTGGAGCTAACGCTGTCTGCGGGGATCTGTGCCCTCAGGCAAGGGGGAGGAGTTTCTGCTGCTGCTGGTGAACCGGCCCCTGCTGATCCTGCAGAGCGAGGCGGGCTTCGTGGGGCTGTTCCCCGGGACGCAGCGCCTGGACGGAAACCGGCCAGCCTACGATGCCAGTTCCCTGACACTCGGCGAGGACGGCTTCTGCCACTTCAGAGTCGGTGCGGCACGGGGTTCCTGCCAGGGTCTGGGGCATGGAGACGCCAGGGGGCTGGGGAGTACCAGGCATGGGGAGGGGACCGAGGATCTGTGCCAGGGGCTGGAGTGTGGGTGTGCAGGGTGATGAGGGTGTGCCAGGCACTGGAGTATCCCTGGGGATGGGGGTGCTAGGGGAACCTGACTGGAAGTGGGGGGAGGGGCCCTTGGCCATGTCTTAGGAAGGAGGGTTGCCCAGGGTTCCTCTGCCCAGGCTGGAAATGCCCTCTTCCATCACTGGGGGGGTCAGTCAATGAACTGCTGAAGGCCCCCAGCTCCTCCCCTTCCCATCAATTTGCAGTAGCCAGCACTTCAGAGGCAAGGGGGAAGCGCCCTCTGCCCCTCCCATAATCCTCCTAGGAGCAGAGTCCATGCTGGCCCCACCTAGTGTCCGCTCTGCAGCAAGGCTCTGGTGTGCATCTCCTGGAATGCTTCCACCCATAACATCCTGCGGCAGCACCTCCCCTAGGTTACAAGTGTGCCCTTTCACTCTGGCCGCCCCCTCTGCCATGATCCATGTCACCCAGCCCTAACTGCTCCCTTTGGCCCACAGCCAACAAGTACTGGAGCCTGGATAAGGACGGGCTGGTCATGGCGAACGGAGACCACCCCAGCAACTTCACCCTCCAGTTCATCTCCTCCAGCTGCCTCGTGCTGAAGGCTCCCAACAGCAAGTACCTGGTGGCGGAGGCAGGGGGCCGCCTGTGGGCAGGGGCCTCAGACGCAGCCTCTGCCACGCCCTTCCACTACTAAGGGTCTCTAGCCCCTGAAATAAACTTCTCTTCCACTGTCCAAGTGCTGCCAGCCTATTGCTGGGACCCCCTCCCCTCCTGCTGCCACCCGGTCATTGCCCATCTTGCCTCACTATCAGTATCCCTCCTGCTGCCTGGAGAGTGGGTCCAGGCTGGGGCAGACAGTGCAGGCTGGCATGGGCCTGGCCTGCCACCTGGAGCCAGCTGTTGGGAGGAGATGTGGGTCAGGGGAGGCGAATTGATGGGGCTTCTCCCAGCCAGAGCAGTGCTCTGTGGCGCAGGGAGCATTCATGTGTCCTGAAGTGGGAGCAGGCTGCCCCCTAGTGGCCCAGGGGGGAGGTGCCTCCTTGCTGCCTTCTGGGGGAAGCCCTACTCTAATGAAAAGGCTCCAGGCAGCAGCAGTAGCAGAAAAATAAATATTTATTGGAAAATAGTATTGATTTGGAGGATGCGAGAGGAGGGGGAAAAGTGCCACGAGTCACTGCTACAGCAAATAACACTGAATCTGGGGGAGCGGGTGGAAGCACCTCTCAATCAGTCACACATGCGATAGACAGGAGCTTATTAATACTTACAAGGGGGGCCCTGGGTGTCTGCCCCTCCACCCCCGTGCTGAAATGGGAGGACACAGAAGGTGCAGGCATGATCCATGGGGGTGTGGTCTGGGCCAGGGGCCACCTGGCCTTGTATGCGTGGGCTCGGACAAACTCTAAGCCCTGGCTGTAGGGGCCGGAATGGGATCCATGTCAGCTCCCAGCAGCCTCTCCCCCTCTTACCCCCCCCTCCTCTCCCCCACTGCACAGCAGGCAGGGGAGGGCGGTGCCTGCAGCGGGTGAGTGATGCCTGGGCACACGGAATGGCTGCTTCATGAGGCGCCAGGTCTGGGATGCGAGTTAAAGTCTCTCTCCAAGTTGCTGGGCACGCCAGTGGTGGCTTCCTGCCCAGGAGGGGCTGATGTGGAACGAGGCTGTGGCTGGGTCTAGCTCTGCTGTGAGGGGCTGAGACGCCGCCATCAGACCAGTCGTGGAGGGAGGGAATGTGTGGCCTCAGTCCCAGGCGCTGGGGCAACGCGTCGCCTTGTCTGGCCTGGAACAGGCTGGATGGAGCCTTAATATGAGTCCACCCTAGAGGGAGATAAACAGGAGAGAGCCTGGCCGTCAATTGCAGACCCTCAGCAGCCTCTCCAACCCCACACGGCTCTGGCGGGGGGGGGGGGGGGAGGGGAGGGAGCTTCCCTCACATCCCTGGGCAACCCTGTCACCCCAACTGCTTCCACACACCCCCGGGAATCTGTCCTCGTAGCAGCCAACCAGAGGAGAGGAGTGCAGATGAGGAAACCGAGGCAGGGGCAGTCAGGAATGGCACCCAGGAGTCCTGATCCCCAGGCGTGTGCATGAGCCACCTGCCCAGCCATTCCCTGTTTGTATCATCAGCGTTTTCTCTCCACACTTTCCCTCCCTCATCCTGTCTCCACCACAGCCTCCCTCCTTGCTCATGACCTAGTTATTCCCTCATTTCCACTAGCCCATGAATGGTCCAGTCTCCCCCAGCCCCAGTGCTTTTTCACCCCTTGGATCCTGTCTCCCTCCTGGCCAGTCTGTCCACCCCAGCTCCTCCCATGTTACCCCTCCAGACCCTGCCCACAGCTGCTCAGTTTCCCACTGCCTCCCAGTGGTGCTGCTGCTCCTCAGGGCAGGAGGGGGTGGGGTACCTGGAGAAGGAGGCCAGGGTGAGGATGCCCAGGAGCAGCTCGACGGCATAGAAGAGCAGCAGGATGGCATTGAGGATGGCCTCCAGCCGGAGGGCGTAGGTCTGCAGGAGCAGGTAATAGGCCGCCATCACTGCCGCTGGGAATGTCAAGGCCAGGCTGATGGAGAGCGGCACCTTCCGCTGGCACAGGTTCCCCTTGGAGCCTGCCACGTGGCACAGTTAGTAAGGCAACTGCTCCCTGCCCTGCAGCCATCCACGCACGCAGCTTCCTGGAGGGGCACAACTGGGGGGACAGGGATATAGAGCCTATCCCCTCTAGGACACAGGCTCCAATCCAGCCCAAGGGCAGGGAATGGGACATGGAGCCTTTCCTCTCTAGGCCTCTGGCCCCTGGTCCAGAAACCTGGCTGGCTCAGGCAAAGAGCTCTTCAACTCTAGGCACTGATCCATCTCCAAGCTGAGTGAGCAAAAGCCAGTCATGTGCTGGCTGCTTGGCGGCCCAGTGAAATCAGGCACCAGTCCAGCTGTCTCAGAGCTGTTTGCCCCCAGGGGGCTGCTTGCCCTGTTGTTCCAGAGCTGGCTGTTAATCTTAGGCACTCACCAAAAAATATCCGAGTGACTTCAATGCCGAGGTAGAGGAAGAGCATGACCAGATCCAGGGCCAAGTTGGCAGAGGGGTATGGTAACAGCAGCCCTGTGGACACAAGTCACCTGTTTCAGGAGGAGTGCAAGGCCTCCAAACCCTCTTTCTGGGGTGCCACTGTCCCTCACCGGGACAGGCCCCTAAGGAAGGGGAGATGGCCGTGAATAACTAGTGGTTCTCAGCCCGAAGGCCTTCCTCCAGGGACAGCAAGTCTGGGGGAGAGCCCCAGAGAGGTGCCAGCAGGACCACAGAAATGCAGTGCAGAGTGGCTCATCTAATGGGTCCCGGCCCTTGCCCAGCATCAGAGCCAAAGGCTTCCTCTTACTCCTCCCTCCCACCAGATGCAGCCCTGCAACGGGCTGGGAGTGGCTGAAACGCATGGATGGGCTGGGAGGCCTGAGGGGCTTGGGTGGAATAAGTCAGCTGGCACTCCACTGGGCTTGTCCTGCCTGCCTTGCCCTCAGTCAAGTGGCGCTTGATACCACAGCACAGAGGGCAGCCCTGCTGCCAAAGGCTGTTCTGTAGTAGTCCCTGGTGATCTGGAATGGCAGTGGAGGGAACTCACCTTTATAGACGAATATGAAGATCTCCAGGAGGAAGTAAGTGGCATAATACCATCCATTGAGGAAGAGCAGGATTTCCAGCGGTGTAGAGGAGAGCTGGCGGCCTGGGGGATGGGCAGATGAATAGCATGAATGGGCGAGGTGCTGCTCCGCATGCAGGCCTGCCGGCCTTATTCTTCCCCCGCAAAGAGGGCAGAGGAAGCCAAAAGGGCCTGAGCTGCATTAACCCCTAACTCCCCATGGGAGCCCCGCCCTCGTAGGATGAGGGATTGTCTGGCTCTCTGAGATAGGCTGAACACAAAGGACTGACTGAGAGGATAGGTGGTCAAGGTACTACTGGCCTGGATCCTTTCCCAGCTCTGCAACAGGCTCCTTGCATGACCCTGGGCGAGCCACTGAGCACAGACTTACAAAGAGATGTAGGCACCTAAAAATGTAGACAGGTGCTCACCTGCCTATTTAGGCACCTCAAAATCTGACCCTGAGTCTCTCTGGGCCTCAGTTTCCCATCTGTAAAATGGGGATAAGAATCCTTCATTTCATAGAATATCAGAGTTGGAAGGGACTTCAGGAGGTCATCTAGTCCAACCCCCTGCTCAAGCAGGCCCAATGCCCAACTAAATCATCCCAGCCAGGGCTTT